GATTTTTTACAACAATATAGATACTTTGAGTCACAATTAACCATTTTTCAACTGAAACCGGATGAAGAGGCCGAAGAGTTTGGTAATTTAATTACCTTTATCTCACAGGTAATTGAACAATCGGCATTTCTGTCCCCTCGATTCCACCTATTCGATCATATTCGTTTCAAAAATTAAATCTAAATTCTCTTTTAACTCGCACAGGTAGCACAATGCTATCCAAAGGAGACCAGCAACTTTCCTCAGCAAGTGATAAATTTACTTTCCGAGCATCATCAAATATTACATCCTAATCTTCGAAGGACCATGGTACAAGGCCTCATATTACTTCGCAATAAAGACATAATACCAAGCATCACGTAAATGAACGAGTTCTTTCAATGGTTAAGGGCAGAGGATATATTCGATTCTTACCAGCTTGGAACTTTTCTCTTTTGAATATCTACAAAATTTTAAAGATTATTATCCTTATTCTACACATTGTTCCGAGTGCGCGACAAACAACTTCGTGATCTGATCTACTCGCATATAATCACCGATATAAAAAACTCCAATGCAAAACACAAAAACAACAAACTTAATAAAACCTTACAAGGTTTCATGTACACCATCCTTCAGACCACGAATAATAATAATTCAGCTGAAAATGCAGTGGCCGCAAAGAAAAGTTTAGATGCTTGTATTGAATTGTACAGAAAGGGAGTATGGTGAGTGACTACTTGAACGGAACTAATATTTATTTATATGTCTCCGCCAATCGATATTGATAGACATTTAACTTCCTTACTAGGAACGATGCTAAAACTGTTAATGTTATAGCGGAAGCATGCTTCCATTCTGTAACAAAGATTAAAGTTTCAGCCATTCAATTTTTCTTGGGAACCAATCAAGAGAATCAGGATGATGATAGTGATGACGAGAAGGTTTGGTTTATATTTATGAGTGCATCCTACAAATAATTGATTCAAAGCAATTTGGGATCATATTACCTTATCAACCATTCTTGTCGGTTTAAAGGCAAATCTCCCCGACATAAAAAGATTACAGCATATAAATCTTATAAACAAAAGAAAAAAATCAAAACTGAGGAAATTAGAAAAAGCGATGACGACAATCAAGAAAAAATTTTTTATATATCGTATCACGTGGCAACTATTTTAAAAAATAAATTTCTAAAATCATGCAACTAAGTTCTG